CTGCGCCGTTTTGTAGAAAGAATTCCAATATTAATAGTAATACTCTGGTTTTTCAATTAGCTCATTGTCTGTACATTCAGAGAGCATACGTTCAACTAGTTTAGCCGGTTCTATGTATGATTCTCTAGAGTTCTTCTCCTGATCTTGCCTGCACACAGTTGCGACCGTAAGCAGATAAAAGGGCCATTTATAGAATTACACTATCTGTCTGACGGCCTAAAAATATTGTTTTTAATTTTTTGTTGTATATTTATTTCTTTTGCTTCTTTCTGCTCATCAAGGGTATTTTTCATGAGTTTAAGTTTAATTGGAGTAAATATTTGTTTATGATCTTTACTATGTTTCATGTTTATGTTAAGGCTGCTTTTAATTGTTTAAATTGCGTTTTTTTATTAATAGCAATGAGATTCTCATTCTGTGATGTAATCAATTCTAGACCGAATTTCCTCGCGATTCAGAAGTTATAGAGGTGTTCAACTGCACAGCCGAAAGGACAAGCAAGTGCAAGAAGATCGGTAGTTTTTCACTAATTAATGCTATCTGTTCCAGATATCGGCTGAGCCTCCTGAAGCCGATTGTTAAAGCACTTCAGATATCGAACAAGGTTTCGATAAGAGTGGACAGCCGCGGGTTTCTTTCAATGCAGTATTTGATCGATGTTGGAGGGGAGACGACTTTCATCGAGTTCTTCGTAAGTTGTCTGTGTAACTAATGCAAAGGAACATGTTCAGCAAAGAAGGCCTGTAGATACGGGAAAATTCATTTGTGCATTTTCAGAGCCTGTTGTTCCTTTGTAGTTACGGGTGCGGCAATTTTCAATAATCCTGGTCATCCGCAAATTCGAAACGCTTCACGAATTAAGTTCCATGGCGCAACAGTGCCAATCCTTCAACAGTAGTCCATCCTGAGGTCGCCTCTGGGCAGCACTAGTTGTTTGATATTGAGTCTTCTATGTACTTAAAACTTTTCGGATCATCCTTGATGCTTTATTAATCTTACTGTAAATTTCCATAACCTTTCATTCAGACATTAAGTCTTGATATCTTTGTAATAATATTAATCTGTAAATATGGCTACTTTTTATTATATCTCTGAAAATTCAGCGCAACTGAAATTCCGTAATATATTCCTGGACGAAGTACTCCTGAATAAAAGTTTTATTTATTTAGAGTTATCATAAACCCTGATTACTGTCATGGGCTTAGAATTTTTTTATGCAGATTTAATATCAAAGGTTCCGTTTGCTTTCAGGCTTTACTAGAGCGTGAAATCTTTGCAATATGCTATCTACCCTCATAACAAATAATGCTTGTCTATGTGCTTACTAGAGTTGGCATTTTGTCCTTCGACCATAGCGTCAAG